TTCGAGACAGGGTTTCTCTGTGTAGCTTTGCGCCTTTCCTGGAACTCACTCTGTAGCCCAGGCTGGCCTCGAACTCACAGAGATCCGCCTGGCTCTGCCTCCCGAGTGCCGGGATTAAAGGCGTGAGAAACTAAGTCACGGAGCTAGAGAGGTGGCTCAGTTAAGAGCACTGGCTGCTCTTCCAGTGGATCCCAGTGTGATTTCCACCACCTTCATCGTGGCTCACAAACATCTAATTCCAGTCCCCTGGGATCAGATGGCCTCTTCTGGGCTCCTCAGGCACCAGACTCACACATAGTAAATAGACACACATGTAAGTAAAACACCCATCATACACATAAAAAAAAAAAGTTAAATAGCCGATTGTGACGGCGTACACCTTTAACCCCAGCACTTGGAAGCAAGAGGCCAGTGGATCTCTGGACCTCTGTGAGTTTGAGGCCAGCCTGATCTACATAGTGAGTTCCAGGACAGCCAGAGTTACATATGTAGTGAGACCATGTCTGAAAACACAAAACAAAATAATTACAGCTTTAAAAAAAAAAAAAAAAAAAAAAAACTGCCTCTCCTGAGCTGGAGAGATAGCTCAGAGGTTAAGAGCATTGGCTGCTCTTCCAGAGGTCCTGAGTTCAATTCCTCAGCCCCCACATGGTAGCTCACAACCATCTGTAATGGGATCTGGTGCCCTCTTCTGGAGAGCAGGGATATGGGCAGACAGAACACTGTATACATAATAAATAAATCTTAAAAAAACAAAAAACTGCCTCTCCTACTAAAATATAAATTCTAGAAGGCTATGTTTGTTCTCTGTCTCTTAATGTCAGAGACTCTGCCTGACATGGAGTAAGCCCTTGATATAGAAATACAAAATTGTTGTGCAATTTAAGCCTCATAAAAGATCCCTGATTCAAATCCACCTCTAATTCTGTACAACAGAATTAACATCCTCTTTTGTAAATGAAGAAACATTTTCTGACATGAAACTGACATGAAGTGAGTTATGGTCAATCCCTTCAAAAAGATGCTGTGGAATTTACACCTGGTGGTCTGCCTGCCAAGGTTTTCTTCTCTACCTTCCTCCCCTCTTCTACTTCTCACATCAATCAGATTTCTAGACGGAAGAAAAGGAAGGAAAGGGTAAAAGAGAAAGAAAAGGGAAGAAAGTTAGATGCTATAGAAGCCCAGAACACTTGCTGCCTTAAATAAAAAGCTTCCAAAGATCCCTGGCTCTCTGGGAAATGTTCTGGGCACGGAGATAAGGCAAGGACTATAGCTCTGCAGCACCCCCTGCTGTTCAGATGCTTTCTTTTCTTTCACCCCGAGAAGAGGCTACTTATGTCAGCCATGAGGTAAATGGCACTATTACAGAGCCCACAGAGGTTAAGGGCACAGCTCCAGGTAAGAAAGAGAAAGGACAAGAACAAGGGGAAAAAAGAAGTAAAGATAGAGAAAGGAAATATCACCTCTCTTTATTTCCTTAATAGTCCAGGCCTGTACCCCATGTCCGGGAAAAACATGAAAAAGGAACCTTAATGTAACACTAGCATCCAGGAGGAAGGCAGAAGTAGGCGGATGTCTGTGAGTTTGAAGCCAGCCTGGTCTACATAGTGAGTTCCAGGACAGCCAAGGATACATAGTGAGATCCTGTATCAAAAATAAATAAACAGGGCCGGGCGGTGGTGGCGCACGCCTTTAATCCCAGCACTCGGGAGGCAGAGCCAGGCGGATCTTTGTGAGTTCGAGGCCAGCCTGGTCTCCAAAGCGAGTTCCAGGAAAGGCGCAAAGCTACACAGAGAAACCCTGTCTCGAAAAACCAAAATAAATAAATAAATAAATAAATAAATAAATAAATAAATAAATAAATAAATATGCAAACAAAATGAAAAGAAACCTCTTGTGACTTAGACTCCAGTTAAGTTGGGTTGCTTTGGAACAAGTCTCCCTATGCAACCAAGACTGGCTTGGAACCCGTGAGCCTCCTGCCTCCAAGCCTCCCAGCTTCGAGTGAGTGGGTCTATGCCTAGTCGGTGTTCTCTAGAGAAACAAAACCAATAGAATGAGTATATATATATATATATATATATATATATATATATATATATATATATATATAATTTTAATATATAATAAGGAATGTATAAAATATGCTTATACTGAAACAGTAACAGTTGTCTCACACCTGAGAGGCTGAGAACCCCCTTGCTGCTCCGTCCATGGGCCAGGGTACCTCAGCAGTCCCAATCTGGCACCAAAAACGGGAAGAGCTGCTGGTCCTCAGTCAATGATGGAAGTCTGGAAGTGCTGGTTCTAATTCAACCAAGAAACAACTGCAACTGCAACAGAGTATATTAACTCTGCAACAGAAGAGAAGACCGGCTGAGCAAAAGGCAGATGATCTTCCTTCAGCCACGCCCCCTTCCAGTACAGACTGCCGCCCCAGCCACGCCCCCTTCCAATCCAGACTGCTGCCCCAGCCACGCCCCCTTCCAATCCAGACTGCTACCAGAAGATGCTGCCCCACATTCTGGGTGGCGTGGGTCTCCCCACATCAGTTAAGGCAATCAGGACAGTTCCTGAGGAGAGGTTCCCTACTCAGGTGATTCTAATTTGTGGCAAATTGACATTAAAAGCAACCACCCCACTTTTGCATCTCTTTCATTAAAGTCTGTAAAAGAGGTTCTTATAAGCCAGATATGGTGGCACATGTCTGTAACTCCAGAATTCCTGTAGCTGAGAGAGGAAGATTGTGAGTTCAATGCCAACCTAAACTATAAATTGAGACTGGGGTATGTGTCCCACAGTTGTAGGATCTTAGCACTTTAGTGAAAAAGGTTTAAGAAAAGTGATTTAGAGATCCTCTAGGAATGCTGAGTTTCACTTAGTCCTGCTACAATGGCCAAGGTTTGTGATGCAGCAGACATTGTTCCTGTTGTTCTAAACTCTGTGGCTCATTTATTTCTAATTATACCATGGCTTGGAGATAAATGACCATCCAAGCATTGGTGTTCCTGCTGAGGCAATAACAGCATTTGAGTCCAGGAGTTCAAAACCAGACTGGGAAACATAGCAAGACCTCACTTCAAAAATAATAATAGTTGCCAGGGCTGGAGAGATGGCTCAGTGGTTAAGAGCACTGAATGTTCTTCCAGAGGTCCTGAGTTCAACTCCCAGCAACCACATGGTGGCGGCTCTCAACCATCTCTGGCGCTTATAATAATAATAAAATAATAATTTCTTAAAAATAATAATAATAATAATGCCGGACATGATGGCACACGCCTTTAATTCCAGCACATGGGAGGCTGAGGGAGGCGGATCTCTGTGAGTTCGAGGTCAGCCTGGTTTACAGAGTGAGATCCAGGACAGTTAGGACTACACAGAGAAACCCTGTCTTGAAAAACAAACAAAATAATAATAATAATAATAGTAATAACACAACAACAACAATAATAATAATAAGAGGCTGGGAGTAGTGGCATACTCCTTTAATCCCAATAGCTGAGAGGCAGAAACGGACAGATCTCTATCTAGTCTACAACTGTAAATTCCAGACCAGCCAGGGTTACACAGTAAGACCTTATCTCAAAATAATAATAAAGTCAAACATGACAATACGCACCTGTAATATCCACACTTAGGGCAAAGATATCAAGAGTTCAGTGCCAGCCCGGGCTGCACAGTGAGAGTCTGCCTCAGTCATTATCATCTCTGGATCTGCGTGCCATTTGCAAAAGTGGGTCAGTCATAATTCCACTTTGACAGGTTTGATGTGGGGATTAGATGGGAAAAAAAACATAGTATACATAAGTGACCCCAAAAATTCTACCAGGGAACTCCTACAGCTGATAAACTCCTTCAGTAAAGTGGCAGGATACAAGATCAACTAAAAAAAAAAAAAAAATCAGTAGCCCTCCTATACACAAATGATAAAAGGGCTGAGAAAGAAATCAGAGAAACATCAGAAAATGGAAGGATCTCCCATGCTCATGGATAGGTAGGATTAACATAGTCAAAATGGCAATCTTACCAAAAGCAATCTACAGATTCAATGCAATCCCCATCAAAATCCCAACACAATTCTTCACAGACTTGGAAAGAAAAATACTCAACTTCATATGGAGAAACAAAAGACCCAGGATAGCTAAAAGAATCCTGTACAATAAAGCAACCTCTGGAGGCATCATCACCTCAAGGTCTACTATAGAGCTATAGTAATAAAAACAGATTGGTACTGGTATAAAAACCGACACACAGACCAATGGAATTGAATTGAAGACCCTGACATTAATCCATGCACATATGAACACCTGATTTTTGACAAAGAAGCCAAAACTATACAATGGAAAAAAGAAAGTATCTTCAACAAATGGTGCTGGCATAACTGGATGTCAATATGTAAAAGATTACAAATAGATCCATATCTGTCACCATGCACAAAACTCAAGTCCAGGTGGATCAAAGACCTCAACGTAAATCCAGTTACACTAAACTTGATAGAAGAGAAAGTAGGAAGTACTCTTGAATGCATTGGCACAGGAGATCACTTCCTAAATATAGCACCAGCAGTACAGACACTGAGCACAACAATTAATAAATGGGACCTCTTGAAACTGAGAAGCTTTTGTAGGGCAAAAGACACGGTCAATAAGACAAAGCGACAGCCTAAAGAATGGGAAAAGATCTTCACCAACCCCACATCTGACAGAGGACTGTTCTTCCAGAGGACCTGGGTTCCATTCCCAGCACCTACATGACAGCTCACACCATTCATAACTCCAGTTCCAGGGGACACTCTCCTGGCCTTCTTGGACACCATACATACAAATGCAAATTTACAAAATGGGAAGAGCGCCAGGCAGTGGTGGCACACCCCTTTAATCCCAGCACTCGGGAGGCAGAGGCAGGAGGATCTTTGTGAGTTCGAGGCCAGCCTGGTCTACAGATCGAGATCCAGGACAGGCACCAAAACTACATAGAGAAACCCTGTCTCAAAAAAAAAAAAAAAAGAAAGAAAAGAAAAAAGGAAGAGTCGCATTTAATTCCAGTAGTCATGAAGCAGAAACAGGTGGATTTCTGTGAGTTCAAGGAAAGCCTGGTCTACATAGAGAATTCCAGGCTAGCCAAGGGTACATAATGAGACCCTGTCTCAAAAAACAAATAAACGAAACAGACAAAAGGAGGCGAGGAGAAAGAGAGCAGCTAGTTTTCACGAAGAAGGGAAGGAGAAGCCGGGATATAGAAAGACAGAGACGTGCAGGCATCCGGAGCACACTGCTAGGACGCAGCTAGCCCTTTATTATGCCCATTGCAGCTGCTACCAGGAGGCCAAGTGGGGCAGAGGGTGGAGAGAGGGACATGGATTCATCTGCAGTTGCTATGGCGCCCCAGGCCGGATTTGCCCGTCTCTACTGATGGAGAGTAGGGGAAGGAGGGAGGTGGAGAGAGGACAACTGGTCCCCTCCCTTCCCCTCTTTTATCTCTGGAGCAGATGTGGGGTGTACGTGTCTGGAGTGGGGGTGTCTGCATACTGGATCAGAGGTGGAGAGAAGAGCAGTATGCAGGATTAAGAGGTTTTTGAGATGGGGTGGCACACTGAGTGAGGGGGGACAGGGCCATCATACCTGTATCCAGAAGCTAACTGGTAACATTAGAGAGGGAAAGCAAAAACCACAACAGGCTAGATGGTATTAGCATGAGAGAGAGGAGGGAGGGAGGGAGGGAGGGAGGGGAAGAGGTGTGGAGACAGACTAGACACCAGCCTTTCTCTGCCTGCATTCTCCTGAGTCCCCCAAACCTCTAGGCAGCCTGGATTCCAGGGATATGAGAGCTGCCAAAGAATGGGCACCAGGGCAGTAGTCACGCCTTCTCTTGTTTGGGGGCTGCTGAGTTGCTGTTTCCTCTGCTGCGATTGGGCTCTGGGGAGCCAAAGGCCCTTCCGCTCTCTGCCTCCTCTATCCTCCCAAGCCAAGCCAGGACCTGGGCCCACAGGGAAGCCCCCTCAGGGGGCCAACGCAGCCCTGGCTTTTCTCTACTCCGGAGATGTTCATCACCTGTCAGGGGCTAATTGCAGTGAGAGCTACGAAGTCCGTGGGGCGGAAGGCAGAGTGGGCATCCCCCCAGTCCTACAGAGAGCAGCGGGCACCCTGGCGCAGGCGGCCAATTTCCTCAACATGCTTCTACAAGCCAATGACATCCGGGAGTCGAGTGTGGAGGAGGACGTTGAGTGGTATCAGGCACTTGTCCGAAGTGTGGCAGAGGGGGACCCAAAAGCCTACAGGGCTCTACTGACCTTTAACCCTCCACCAGGGGCCAGCCACCTTCAGCTGGCCCTGCAGGCCACCCGGATGGGGGATGAGACCATCCTTCAGGACCTGTCTGGGAACAGGGTACAGGAAGAAAATCCAGAAGAGGACCTGGACAGCGTTGGCTTGCAGAAGCGAGTACTGACCAATGACCTAAGGAGTCTGGACAGCCCTAAGTGGCCACGGGGAGATGGATATGTAGGGGACATCCATCAGGTGAAGCTGTCTCCTCCCTTCCTGGAATGCCATGAGGGCCGGCTCCGTCCTGGCTGGCTAGTCACAGTCTCAGCCACATTCTATGGACTCAAGCCAGACCTCACCCCGGAAGTCAGGTAAGTAGGATTGGGAAGGACTTGATGGGTTTGTGAGGATGCACAGACCATTTGGCAAAAACATGTGTATGTCTGGGGAGGGGGTACAGATGTATGTGTGCACTCAGTTGTGTATATCTATAACTATCTATTAATATTCTCAGTGTGAGAGTGCATGCTGTACATGAACCAGTCAATTTATACATATTTATCTGAACATCTATTGGTTTGTTTTGTGTGTGTATGTATGTATGTCTTCATTTTATTTTGTTTTCTTTTCTTTCTTTCTTCCTTCCTTTCTTATTTATTTATTTATTTATTGGTTTTTCAAGACAAGGTTTTTCTGTGTAGACTTGGCTGTCCTGGAACTCTGTAGACCAGGCTGGCCTTGAACTCACAGAGATCCATATGTCTCTGCTTCCTGAATGCTGGGAATAAAGGCATGCGCCACCATTGCCCAGCTTTATTTTGTTTTCTAAGACAGTTTCTCATGTAGCCAAGGCTAACCTGGAACCCTGATCCTCCTGCCTCCACTCTCCAGGTGTTGGGATTACAGGCATGTGCCTGGGTATCTCTTGATGTTGTTTATATGTTGAGGACAATGTGTGAAAGTCTATGAGCATGTGCACACACATGCATCTATATATGGGTATGTGTGTGTGCAAAGGGTGAGGGTAGACAGGGACAGGTCTTGGGTCTCATGGCTCTCAGGTCTGGGGTATAGACAGAAGAGGTAGGGGAGAACTTGATAGCCTGGCAGTGGTGGCACACACCTTTAATCCCAGCACTCAGGAGGCAGAGGCAGGCAGATCTCTGTGAGTTCAAGACCAGCCTGATCTACAAATCGAGTTCCAGAACAGCCAGAGCTGTTACACAGAGAAACCCTGTCTAGAAAAATGGAAAAAAAGAGAAAGAGAGAGAGAGAACTTAATGATAGTAATAACCCATGTTCCTGGCTTCTCAGAGGAACCACATGGACACTCCAGGAAGCTTCCCAAGAGAAGAAAAATTGCTGGACAGGGGCTTGGAACCAACGCCTTTTCGGTCTAGGAGTTGGCTGAGTCCCCAGTATCATTACCAAGGAGCAGGCTCTTAGTGGAGCGGACCCCATATCCTATCTATCCTGCCGCAGTACTTTGTGATATTCCTCAAGGAACTGACTCTGCACTCAGCTAGGGTAAAGAGCCAGTAGTTCTTCTCCTGGGATGCAGGCTCAAAGGAACACAGCGCAGCCAGGCATGCTGCGGCCAGGCATGCTGCAGCCAGGCATGCTACAGCCAGGCATGCTGCGGTCAGTCTTGCTTTCTCAGCTCTCTGCCCCCGTGCATTGTTCCAGCAGGGCTCCCAGTCCTGTAAGATGGCATCCTGGCTCCCTGCCAGAGCCCTCCCAATTCGGTCACAACAGGGCTCCTCCGTTCCAGGACTCCTTTGCTGTGATTAGTTCAGACCTGGTTTGGGCAGAGGAAAGGGGTGGTAAGCAGCTGAGCTACGTATGTTGTGTGTAGATGCAATGGGCAAGGGTGAAAAAAAAACTCTTCACAGTGATCGTCAGAGCCCTGGGCTCCTGCATGCCTTGACATGCCTTTTCTTTCTGCCCGTTGATGAAAACCAAAAAATGATAAGATGATGACTAGGGGAGAAGTGGGGAGTACAACCTAGTGGGAGGGGGACTGTTGCCACAGAAACAGGGCTCATGGCACTGGAGATCTGCCTCGTATGTGTGCAGTCCTGACCCTGTGCTAAAGCGCGCCAAGACCAATAATGTAGTGATTGCCTCAGCATCCCCACCGTGCCCCTAACTGCCAGTTTGCTGCCCTAGGGGGCAGGTGCAGATGGACATCGACCTCCAAAGCGTGGACATCAATCAGTGTGCAAGCGGCCCAGGCTGGTACTCGAACACCCACCTGTGTGATCTCAACAGCACTCAGGTAAGAAGGATGGGTCCAGTGTGTCCTCCCTTCCTTCCCCTTTCCCATCACCGCCTCCCACCCAGCTCCCAGGAGCAGCTGACAAAGCCACTCTGGTATCTCAGGGTTTCAAGGGGGTCCCGAGTGATTGGCAGAGGTGAAATGGCAGGCTTTTGTAAAGGGAGGCCAGTGTACAGCCTACCTCATACCATCGTTTGCCAAGAAGATACTCCTCACGCCCGTGAAACCTGAATGTGCCTCCTTGTTTGCCCTCCGTCTGGTGTTCAGCACTCCGGGGTTCTTCTTTAAGGCAACTTCTGAGCCTCACCTGCTTTCCTTCTCCTAGGCTGCATGCTCCACAGTAACACAGCCCTGAGCTCCTCGTGGTGCACAGAGGATGCTCCTTTGGTATTCACCGAAGTAAACAGCATTGCTGGCTGGGTGTAGGAGGAGGCTGGCCAGAGTTTGAAAAGGTCTGGGACTAGCGAAGGTGACACAGCAAGCCACACGCAGAACCACAGCCCTTTGCTCACAGAGATCTGTTTTTAGCCACTGACCTCAGCCCTGTGCTTAACTCTCCTGCCCATCTCGGAGGCCACTTGTGTCCTCGGAGGCCATTTGTGTCCCCTGCGGAGCACACGTCAATAGCAGGAGGCAGAACAGAGAGCTAAGCTTGGTATCCCACCAGCCTGGCATTATGCTGAGGAAAGTAGTCAGTCCTATGTTAAGCCAGATAGGCCCTGATAAAGGAAGTTGCCTCTCCACGGGGGTCTTTTCGTTGTTATTTTGCTTGGTTTTTGGAGACAGGGTTTTTCTGTGCAGTCCTGCCTGTCCTGGAACTCTCTCTCTGTAGACCAGGCTGGCTTCAAACTCACAGAGATTCACCTGCCTCTGCCTCCCAAGCCACCACTGCCCGGCCATGGGGGTCTTTTTAACGTACCTGTCTTAATTAGAGTTACTGTTGCTGTGATGGAACACCATGACCAAAAGCAAGTTGGGGAGGAAAGGGTTCCATATAACAGTTTATTGTCAAAAACAGTGAGGGCAGGAACTCAAGCAGGGCAGGACCCTGGAGGCAGGAGCTGATGCAGAGGCCGTGGAGGGATGCTGCTTACTGGCTTGCTCATCATGGCTTGCTCAGCCTGCTTTCTTATAGAACCCAGGACCACCAGCCCAGGGATGGCTCAACAACAGTGGGCTGGGTCCTCCCATGTCAATCACTAATTAAGAAAATGCCCTACAGCTGGATCTTATGAAGGCATCTTCTCAATTGAGGCTCATAGCGCTCCCGATAATTCTAGCTTGTGTCAAGTGGACATAAAACTAGCCAGCACAACACCTATATGCCAAGTTCATGGGAGCCCTTTGAAGCAGGGTGTAGGCACATAAGAGGTATGATTGGGCCGGGCGGTGGTGGCGCACGCCTTTAATCCCAGCACTCGGGAGGCAGAGCCAGGCGGATCTTTGTGAGTTCGAGGCCAGCCTGGTCTACACAGCGAGATCCAGGAAAGGCGCAAAGCTACACAGAGAAACCCTGTCTCGAAAAACCAAAAAAAAAAAAAAAAAAAAAAAGAGGTATGATTGGGCTCTGAGCTCTCGTATCTTCACACCACACCACCCCCCAGTACCTAGCCCTAGCAACAGCACCAGGAAATGGAATGCGAGACTCCTGTTACAGCCAGTCTGAACAAAAGAGTTATGTATCCTAGTTATGAATCCTGCATTCTTTTCTTGGATACTCCTTGAAAAGACCTAACAGCAAGGGATGGGGACGTTTCCAGAGGTGTGGCTGGGGGCTGGGGGCTGGGCAAGAACCAGAGGAGGCTTCTGGTGAATTCTCCTAATGTAAACCCAGAAGCCATGGGTGGAGGGGGTGGAGGGAGCGCTTCCCAGCAGGAAAAGCTTTCGCAGAAAAACACCGTACAAACAAATGCCGTTTGTCATCCCCACAGTGTGTCCCTCTGGAGAGTCAGGGTTTTGTCCTTGGCCGTTATCTCTGTCGCTGCCGACCTGGATTCTACGGGGCTAGCAGTTCTGGGGGTGCGTAAGTGTGGAGAGGGCTAAGCAGAGGTTTTGCAGGCCAAGGTAAGTTGGGATGGAACCTCTATGGATGACAGGTAGGTTTGAGGTAACCCTGGGAGGAAGTGGGCATCAACAGCAGAAAGCCAAGAGCAGAGGCTAGGCATGGTGGCACATAACTATGGTCCCAGCACTTGGAAGGCTGAGGTAGGAGGATTGCCATGAACTCAAGGCCAGTTTGGGCTACAATCTGAGACCCTGTCTCAAGAGAAAAGGGAGGGAGCGGGGGCGGGGGTGGTGGTGGTTTAGGATCAGCGGGGCTCTTTGTAGGTGTCTACCTTCTGAGAATAAACCCAAACACACAGGTATGAGGCAAGTTAGCTTCTGAATGAGTCTTAGCCTGGTGTCTTCCTGTTACCCTGTCCTTAACGGGGCATGACCCTTTGCTCTTCTTCCTGGGGCCATAAGCTACAGGAGGGCATGTCGTCCCCAGGACCCAAGGCGAGAACCTCAGAAATCCCTACCTAGCCAGCTCTCCTTACACACACCTTGTCCTTTGTAGGGTTAGAGGAGCGTGCAAGTCAGACTGCCGGCCAATTCGGGTCCCCACAAGGCAGCTTAGGGAAGCTGCTGCGGTGCCAGCCATGTCCTGAGGGCTGCACCAGCTGTCTGGATGCCACACCGTGCCTGGTGGAGGAGGCCCTGGCACTGAGGACGGCAGTGCTGGGCTGCCAGACCTGCTGCATGCTGGCGGTCTTCCTGAGTATGCTGGTTGCCTACCGTTGCCGAGGGAGCAAGGCAAGTCGGCCCCATCTTTCTTCTGCGCACACATCCAACCCGTCTCAACCAGAGAGCTGAGTCTTGGGAGAAGGGGTGCCAACCTTGCTTCTATGCCTGAATGTGTGACATTAGGCAGTGACCGCTCTACCTTAGACCGGTTTCCTCGTCTGCAGCTTTGTATTTGATTCAACAAGTACCCGTTGAATGCCTGCTCAGAGCAAAATACTCCATAGGCACTCTGCAAGAGAAGCAGTCTGGAACCCTTGGCATGGAGTCAGGGGCAAGGATGGGGGTGGCTGTCAGGTGCCGCGGGGGGCTCAGAGGAGGGACCCAGTTACTCTGGAGGAGATGTTTCTAGGAAAAGTGATACTGGGGCAAGGCTTGAAGGTTAACTGGTTTTTACTGGGCAAAGAAGGGAAAGCTTATTCTAGACCAAGATGCAGTCTGCGCGGAGGCATGCCAGAGGCCCTTTCTAGCTCTAGCAACCTTCGGTGTGAGCATTGCCCTGGGTGCAAGCAGAGCTGGACTCTGGGGTGACACTGGAGGAGAGGCTGTGAACAGGGCTGGAGCCATTGCTGTTGGAGGAAGCCCAGGGCAAGAGTGAGCCTCCGGACAAGGGGGTGGAGCCATTGCTGTTGGAGGGAGCCCAGGGCTAGTGAGCCTCCGGACAAGGGGGTGGAGCCATTGCTGTTGGAAGAAGCCCAGGGCTAGAGTGAGCCTCCCGACAGGCCCAGGCCAGGCTTGGTGCTCTCAGCATCCTGCTCACACCTTTCTCTCCTGGGCTCACAGAGGATCCGGGCATCTGGAATCTTCCTGCTGGAAACCATCCTTTTTGGATCCTTACTTCTCTACTTTCCTGTGAGTCTGTGACCAGTAGCTGGCCTTACTTCTTAGTACCCTCCACTCCCAAACTGTCATCATCCTCCAGAATCCTTTTCTGTCTTCTTAGGAAGATTTGGCGATTTTAAATTCCCCGCTACCAGCATGGCAGTGGCACAGGCCTTTTATCCCAGCACTCAGGAGGCAGAGGCAGGTGGATCTCTGTGAGATCAAGGCCAGCCTGGTCTACAGAGCTAGTTCCAGGACAGCCAGGGCTACACGGAGAAATCCTATCTTGGAAAACAAAAACAAAACAAAAAGTTAAATTCCTCCTACCTATTCCCACAAATGGCATGCTGGGCCTCGTAAGCTCTAGAGACAGAGACCCAGGTTCAGAAGAATTTTCTGACTTGCCGGTGCAGTTTAAGGCAAGCTATCTACCTTTCCCGCTACGTAAGCTGCAACTCTGCAGAAGGGAAGTATGAGGCCTCCACTGTGGGGCTGCTGGGAAGGTTAGTCATGTGTGTGACAGGACATGGATGGAGAGTGGCTGGGGGCACAGCGGAGAGCAGCTGTTTCTGCCTCTCCACCATCAGGTGTTCATCCTCTACTTCAAGCCCAGTGTGTTCCGCTGCATCGCTCTCCGCTGGGTCCGGCTGCTAGGTTTTGCCGTCGTCTATGGGACCATCATATTGAAGCTTTATAGGTAGGGCCCTGCAGATGTCGCCACTGTGCTGCTCACCCCAGGCTACCCAGCTCATTCACACAGTGAAGTTTTCAGAGCCGGACCTTCCCCTGCACCTCCAGCCTCAATCACTCAGCTGTCCCCCTCTGGGTAACTTCTGGGAAGACCAGGGGAGGCAAACGCGTGGAGAGCTGGGAAGCACTGGACAGAATTCAGGGCTCTGGCTCCATCCTTGGTCCTCCCGACTTCCCACGTGTATCTTCCTCCCCTCAGGGTGCTCCAGCTGTTTCTGTCTCGAACGGCCCAGCGGGGTCCACATCCAAGCAGTGGGCAGTTGCTGCGGCGCCTGGGGCAGCTCCTCCTGTTGGTATTGGGCTTCCTGGCTGTGTGGACGGCGGGCGTCCTGGAGCCAGGCATGGAGCACACGCCCCTGGTGACCCGAGGCCACACTCCCACCGGCCGCCACTTCTACCTCTGTCACCATGACCACTGGGACTACATCATGGTTGTGGGTGAGCTGCTGCTGCTGAGCCCAGCCTCCTTCTGGCCCTGGCTCTTACCTCCAGGATATTCTGGAGCTGGTTGCCCTGGGTCTGGGCTGCCCCGAACTTGGTTTTGGAGAGGGTCAGCAGGCAGCTGAAGTGGTAAGAGATCTCTCTGTCTCACCACCACCCCCAGCGGAAATGCTGCTGTTGTGTTGGGGCAGCTTCCTCTGCTACGCCACCCGGGCTGTCCCCTCAGCCTTCCATGAACCACGCTACATGAGCATCGCCCTGCACAATGAGCTGCTACTCTCTACAGTCTTCCACACAGCCAGGTGAGGACTAGCCTATCTTCCCGAGACTCCTCCCACCCTGCCAATCTCCCCATCTCCAGGTGAGGACTAGCCTCTTCCTGAGACTCCTCCAACCCCGGCAATCTTCCCATCTCCAGGTGAGGACTATCCTCTCTTCCCGAGACTCCTCCCACCCCGCCAATCTCCCCACCTCCAGGTGAGGACTAGCCTCTTCCTGAGACTCCTCCCACCCCGCCAATCTCCCCACCTCTGGGTGAGGGGGTCTATCTAACGGTGATCCTTGCAATGCTGCTATGTCCAGTAGGGTACAGGAGGGCTCCACATATATCCTTCCTGTATCTCATCTCTCGTTCAGGAGAGATACCCGCCAGGTATACCTTTTATCTCAGCACTAGGGAGGCAGAGGCAAGCAGATCTCTGTGAGTTCGAGGCTAGCCTGATCTACAGAGCAAGTTCCAGGACAGGCTCCAAAAGCTACACAGAGAAACCTTGTCTCAAAAAAACAAAACAGAGAGAGAGAGAGAGAGAGAGAGAGAGAGAGAGAGAGAGAGAGAGAGAGAGAGAGATACCCAATCCATAAGAAGTGTGTCTCATTCCTAATTGCCTGTCTTCAGCCCTGCATGTTTTCCCCTTGGGCCCTGACCCCTTCCTTACTCCTTAGCCTTCAGAGCAGGGGGCCTGCTGTGTGCTTATGGGGACCTGGCCCTGTGGTTGAGGGAGACACAGACTACAGGGTGATCCTAATAGACCCCTGGGCACAGTTCTGTTCTGTAACCTGGGCAGGCAGAAGCAGTGGGGTGCAGTCACTTAGGAGGACGTCTCAGAAGAGGGGGTTAATGAGAACCTTGCGATTACACCTATGATCCAGAGAGGGCAGGAAGGGTGTCCTCCTGGCAGAGTGCCAGGCTGGGGCTGGGGCGGAGAGGCAGGTGAGGTGAGGTGAGGCAGGCAGGCTGCTCCCACGGCACTGATGATCAGCCTGTCCCATCTGGTCCTCAGGTTTGTGCTGGTTCCTTCCCTGAACCCAGACTGGACACTTCTCCTCTTCTTCCTCCATACCCACAGTACAGTCACAGCCACCCTCGCTCTGATCTTCATCCCGAAGGTAAGTCTTTCCGCAACTTCATAAGGCAGGACCTCAGCCCCTTGGTAAAGAACACTGTGGGCCTGCCACCTCCGCACCCTCTCCACATAAAAAATGATGAGCATCCCAGGCAAGGGCTTGCTTAGGAGAGGAAGCTATTCCCTGCTCCAGTTCCCAAGCAAGCAACATAGAGCTAGGGATGGAGGAAGAATTTGTTTGTTTGGTTTTTTGGTTTTGTTTTGTTTTGTTTTTTTGAGACAGGGTCTCTCTGTATAGCCCTGGCTGTCCTGGAACTCACAGAGATCTTCCTGCCTCTGCCTCCCGAGTGCTGGGATTAAAAGCATGTGCCACCACCACCCAGCTGTTTTTGTTTTTTGTTTGTTTGTTTTTTGGTTTTTTGAGACAGGGTTTCTCAGTGTAGCTTTGCACCTTTCCTGGAACTCACTCTGTAGCCCAGGCTGGCCTTGTTTGTTTGTTTTTTGAGACAGAGTCTCACTATATGCCCTGGCTGTCCTGGAACTAGCTATATAGACCAGGCTGGCCTTGAACTCACAGAGACTACCTGTCTCTGCCTCCACCTCCCGAATGCTGGAATTAAAGGCCACCATGTCTGGTATCCTTTTAATCCAGCTAGTGGACTCTGAAGATGTGGGGAGCAGCCAATAGAGGCAGGTTGGAGAGCTAAAGGCCATGCCTAAGGGTACCGTGCTGGTCACTGCTGAAGAGTGACAGGGAATAAGATTCTCTGAAGCCATGGATTCCAGATCAGGAGGGTGAAGACTCCTGAAGGAGAGGCAGCGTAGGTGAAGGCGGAAGTGGGCAGGATGCTATTGTCTACCCCCTCCCCACCTCAACCCCCCACCCCTGTCTTGGCTAGTTCTGGAAGCCAGGGGCGCCTCCCCGAGAGGAGATCTTGGATGAAGTGTATGAGGAGGAGCTGGACCTGCAGCGCTCAGGCTCCTACCTCAACAGCAGCATCGCCTCAGCCTGGAGTGAGCGCAGCCTGGATGCAGGGGATATTCGGGTAGGTCCCCCTCCTCCACCCCAAGTCCTTTGATACCAACTTCTAAGGACTGAGCAGGGGAACACAGCTGTGCTGCCACAGGGCTACACACCACTGAATCACCCCAAGTCCTCCCTCCTCCAAGACTCTCCAAGACTGCACCTCCCTTTTCTACCACCCAAGACCCCCGATCACATACCATCCAATTGAAAAGAACTCCCCAAACCCAGATGCCAAGGCCCTGAAGGCCCAGGTCCAGCCAAGAGTACACTCTTAATCTCCTGTGTTCTCTTCATAGGGTGGGGGCAGACTAGAAAAGCCTTAAGTTCCAAGCAAAGTGGAATGGCTAAGGACCCTCAGAGTCAGCTGTGGGACTAGAAAGTGCCCCCACATCTGGGCCTCTGCATCTTCTTCAATTTTATTGTTGTTTGGGTTTTTTTGTTTTGTTTTTTTTGGGGGGGGGTTTCGAGACAGGGTTTCTCTGTGTAGCTTTGCGCCTGTCCTGGAACTCACTTGGTAGCCCAGGCTGGCCTTGAACTCACAGAGATCTGCCTGGCTCTGCCTCCCGAGTGCTGGGATTAAAGGCGTGCGGCACCACCGCCCGGCCGGTTTTTTGTTTTTTTAAGACAGGGTTTCTCTGTATAGTCCTGGCTGTCCTGGAACTCATTTGTAAACCAGACTGGTCTCAAACTCAGGGAGCTGCCTGCCTCTGCCTCCCAAGTGCTGGGATGAAAGGCGTGTGCCACCACACCTGGCACCTCTGCATCTTCCATGTAACCTGTGTTTACTTCCTTAGAACATTCTAGGAGATTGATGGAACTAGTGGATGGGGAATGTTACATGTCAGTGTCAATGAAAACTTCCCTGCTCTGAATTTCTTCCCAAACAACCACAACAGCAAAACCCTAAAACCAAAGAAGATGCAGAGGGAGGTACAGAGAGGTCAATAAACTAGCTTTGAGACACACTTAGGTCAGCAGTCTCAAAGCCAGCCCTGCCCTCCATGCTGGGCATTTCCCAGGAGATCACAGTGCTCCAGAGAAGTGAGGGCACCCTGAACCCTCAGGACCGAATGGATCCAAGTCAGAACCAGCTTGGCTCTGGTCTCTCGGGAACAGAGTGGTGAATTCTGAGTTTTAGAAACAAGAAAGGGAGCAGCTTGGTGGAGAAGTGGTGCCCCAAAGAAAATAGTTTAACCGAGGGCCAAAGAGGGGAGTGGCCCTGGTGGGGGAGTGGCCCTGATGGGGGAGCGGCCCTGGTGGGGGGGAGCGGCCCTGGTGGGGAGAGTGGCACTGGTGGGGGGCGGCACTGGTGGGGGGGAGCGGCACTGGTGGGGGGAGCGGCCCTGGTGGGGGGGAGCGGCACTGGTGGGGGAGCGGCCCTGGTGGGGGGAGCGGCCCTGGTGGGGGGAGCGGCCCTGGTGGGGGGGAGCGGCCCTGGTGGGGGGAGCGGCCCTGGTGGGGAGAGTGGCACTGGTGGGGGGCGGCACTGGTGGGGGGCGGCACTGGTGGGGGGGAGCGGCACTGGTGGGGGGAGCGGCCCTGGTGAGGGGAGCGGCCCTGGTGGGGAGAGTGGCACTGGTGGGGGGCGGCACTGGTGGGGGGCGGCACTGGTGGGGGGGAGCGGCACTGGTGGGGGGCGGCACTGGTGGGGGGCGGCACTGGTGGGGGGGAGCGGCACTGGTGGGGGGAGCGGCCCTGGTAGGGGGGAGCGGCACTGGTGGGGGAGCGGCCCTGGTGGGGGGAGCGGCCCTGGTGGGGGGGAGCGGCCCTGGTGGGGGGGAGCGGCCCTGGTGGGGGGGAGCGGCCCTGGTGGGGGGAGCGGCCCTGGTGGGGGGGAGCGGCCCTGGTGGGGGGAGCGGCCCTGGTGAGGGGAGCGGCCCTGGTGGGGGGGAGCGGCACTGGAGCGGGGAGCGGCCCTGGTGGGGGGAGCGGCCCTGGTGGGGGGGGAGCGGCTCTGGTGGGGGGGAGCGGCACTGGTGGGGGCGGGCTCAGCCATCTCAGAGGTGGCTCTGCTGCCCCACCCCTTCCTTGCAGGATGAGCTGAAGAAGCTCTACGCCCAGCTAGAGGTCCGCAAGACCAAGGAGATGGCTGCTAACAACCCCCACCTGCCCAAGAAGCGGAGCAGCTCGCGCCAGGGCCTGGGACGCTCCTTCATGAGGTACCTGGCAGAGTTCCCAGAGGCCCTGGCTAGGCAGCACTCCCGGGACTCGGGCTCTCCAGGCCGCGGCAGCCTGCCAGGCTCTTCCAGACGCAGGCTTCTCAGCTCCAGCCTTCAAGAAACTGAGAAGCCACCAGCCCTGCGCAAGACCCGCAGCACCTACGACCACCACAGGGAGCATAACACACCTCTCCTTGACTCCGCACTGAGGAGAACCCTGTCCAGGAAGGCCTCGCCAGCCTCGGAGGGCCAAGGAGAGGGGCCCCCAGCCCTGGGCTTCAGGTCGGCCAGTGCTCACAACCTGACGGTGGGAGAAAGGCTCCCCCGAGCCAGGCCCATCTCCCTGCAGAAGTCACTCAGTGTTGTGGCTGGCTCCAGGGAAAAGGCTCTGCTTGTGGCCAGTCAGGCCTACCTGGAGGAAACCTATCGGCAGGCCAAAGAGAGAGAGGAGCGAAAGAAGGCTGAGGCAGCCACAGTGAGCCCAGTGCGGAGGCCGTCGGCCAGGAGGCCGGAGCGGCCTTTGAGGGTTCCTCTCTCAGCCCCACCTTCCCCGGCCAAGAGCAGCAGCACGGACAGCTCTCACACCCCTGGGAGGCCTCATGAGGAGGCTGGGAGAAGGCTGCCTCACCCACCCATCCGGCACCAGGTCTCCACACCCATCTTCGCTCTGTCTGGGGCCTACCTGGGAGAGCCAAGAATGCTGTCTCCCACCCCAACCCCCACATTGGCTCCTGTTCCATTGCCAGCTCTGGCCCCAACCCCCACTTCCGTCCTGGCACCCGTCCCAATGCCCCCCCAGAGCCCCACCCTACTCGCTTTCATCTGTCCCTGGGAGAATGCAGAACTGCCAGGCAAGAAAGAAAATGTGGTCCAGGAAGGCCCCACGGGGGCAGAGCAAAGCAGCCACTCACCTGCCTCAGCTCGTACCAAGATCTGGAGGGCCCTCTCTGTGGCAGTGGAGAAAAGGGGGACTGGGGAGAGTGAGAGGACCACAGAGGACAGACATGTCCAGGCGGAAGCTGATGATGTGGATGAGGACAAGCCCAAGGTCCTCTCAAAATCCCACAGCCTCAAGACACCGCTGCAGCAGGGCTCCGTGCGCAGCCTGGGCCTGGCCATCAAAGCGCTGACCCGTTCCAGGAGCACCTATAAAGAGAAGGAAGGTGGGGAGGACAGCTCTGAGACTGAGAAGGGAAAGCCTACGGGAGTGAGCATGGGCGCTCCACCCCGATCTCCCAGGCTAGGCCGGCCCAAAGCAGTGAGCAAGCAGGCTGCCCTCACCCTCTGTGAGGATGAGGAGTCCCTCCAGAACCAACAGAATGCTCACACCAGCAGAATGCTCCAGGTCTGTCACAAAGAGGGCAGCAATGAACCAGAAAATAGGGACAAGAGGGCATCGCAGGGCCCCGGGGAGAGGGGAGGCGAGAGAACCAGTAAAATAGGGCTTGCTACACTGAGGCAAGTTTTTGGGGACAAAAATGCTGAACAAGCGAAGGAATCCTCTGTGGGAGACCAAGAGGTGGCAAATACCGCCCTCCAGCCCCTCGGCAGTGCTGACCACAGGGTGGCAGAGGTATGCCCCTGGGAAGTAACTCAATCAGGAATATGCCAGCCAGAGAATAGCAACAAGGCCAAAATCTGCCCCTGGGAGGGGACTGAAGGAGGCCTTGAGAAGACTCCATCAAGACAAGTTCTAAGTAGCTCCTGGGCAGGGAGGGAGAAAGCCCCAGAGGAATCAGAACCTGAGGGTGTGGGTGCCATTACTGGGGAAAAGCCGGAGAGGCTTGTCCGGAGCCAGGAGGCAGTGTGTCCTTGGGAAAGTGCCGACCCTGGAGGTGTGTCTCCTCAGTTGGCCCATCAGGACTCTGACAGAACCCAGGGCAGGTCTGCAGTAGTGGGCAGTACGGAGGTGAGGAAGGGGGAAAGGCATCCAGAGGTTCTCCCACGCGGGGTTGCCAAGGCTGAGCTGTGCCCCTGGGAGCTGAGTGATGTGGGGGAGGAGACGTTGGCCCAGAGAGTGAAGGAACCCCCCGAAGAAAGGCAGAAATCCCCCCAAAAGGAAAGCTTCTGGAGCGAACAGAATCTGGGCAGAGACCTGGTGTCTCTTTGTCCTTGGGAAAGTACAGATTTTCGGGGTCCCTCAGCAGTCTCACTTCAAGCCCCGGGAAGCTCAGGGAGTCTGGGCAGTGGTATTACAGAGGTCTGCCCATGGGAGGTAGGAGATACACCTAAAGACAGGAAAGCTGAGGTCTGCCCCTGGGAGCTGGGAGCAGAAACACTGAATCAGGGAACAGAGGGGGAATCTCTCCCGGGAAGGGAGACTGCATCCAGAAAGGGGTACTTGGGAGAGATGGGGGAGCAAACTGCAAGGACAGTGCCTACAGTCTGTCAAGGGCAGGAGTCAGTGTGCCCCTGGGAGGACCCAGCCCCTGAGCAGTCCAGCCCACATCCAGACAACTCCTCATCTAAGGCTGCTGTGCAGTTCCTAAGCAGTGGGGACAGCCAGGCGCTGCAAGTGTGTCCTTGGGAAGCGCTCAAGCCAGAAGAAAAGCAGGCAGCACCCTCCACGGCAGAAATCTGTCCCTGGGAAGTAGATGGAAGAACCCAAGCACCCTCGACAGCAGAAATCTGTCCCTGGGAAGTAGATGGAAGAACCCAAGCACCCTTGACGGCAGAAATCTGTCCCTGGGAAGTAGATGGAAGAACCCAAGCACCCTTGACGGCAGAAATCTGTCCCTGGGAAGTAGATGGAAGAACCCAGGACAGGACATCAGAACACACACTCAAAGGAAGAGAATCTCAAAAAGACGAGGAGAAAATACCTGGAAAAGCAAGAATCCAAACATGGGAAAAGGCTGGGGGGCAGATCCAAAAGCAGGAAGCAATCTGCCCCTGGGAGAGCATGGATCCTAGCAGCACCCCGCAAAAAGACTCAGAGAAACCCCAAGCTACTCTCCAGAGGCAAGGCAGTATGGGAGGCAAAGCTGCTGAGATCTGCCCATGGGACGTGGGGGAGAGCCTGAGAGCTGAGAAGGCCAGGAGCTGCCCCTGGGAGGTGGGTGCTGGGGCTGGAGAGGAAAGGACTGTGGGAGCTGAAGCCTGTGGGGTCTCTCGGAATGATACAGCTCAGACTGCTACAGATTCTGGACCCAGGCAGATGGCTGCTACTACTCCAAAGAAGCCAGAGAGGCCAGGCCTGGAGGAGGTGGTCTGTCCTTGGGACAGCGTGGGTCCAGGGGACTCTTCTCAGCAGCCAGATGCTCTGAGCACTGAGAATCCAAAAGATGGGCTCCAGGAACTTGACCACACGAGCTCCAGGCCAATAGAGGTGTGTCCCTGGGAAGTGAGCGAAGGAACCGTGGTGAAAGGGCTGGAGCAAGAGACGGGGAGTGAAATAGCGGAGCAAGGGCCAAAGAAGCTGGAAAAGGTGGGACTTCCCTTCCAAGAGGGGACATCAAAAGGGGATGCAAAACTCTGCCAGGAACAGGAACCTATCAGTCCTCGGAAGGATGAGGATTTGAGGAAACCATCTGCTCAGGTCCCCACGGTCTCAGATTTGCCCAGCAGCATCAGTAGTCAGGTAGCAGAGGGACAGTCCTCAGAAGTGAGTGACAGGTCAACAGAGAAGGGAAGCCTGAGACAAAACCTGAAGGTGGGTTCCCTCCCAGAACACACACCCCAAGGAAAAGCTACAGCTTTGAAATCACAGTTCCCTGCTGACTGGGAAGGAACAAGCAAGGAGCTCCAGTCTGTCTGTCCCTGGGAGAGCATGATGCTGGCAAGCCCCTCCCTCCACCCTCATGGTCAGTACTCTGACCAACCTAGAGCCAGCGCCCAGACACTGGTCAGTACTGGCGGAAGGGTTGCGGAGGTGTGCCCATGGGATGCTCCGGTCCCAGGTCAGTATGACCCTGACAGTGACACCAAGGTTGAAGTCTGTCCCTGGAAGGTGACTGGGAGAATTACGGAGACACAGACATCAGAACAGGATGAAAAGGAGGAATCTCAAGAAGAAAAAGAAAGAGCCCCTGAAAAACCAGAGCCCAAAGGTGTGGCAGTCCAGACCAGGAACTTTGGGGAGCAGGAAGCTGTGTGCCTTGGGGAGAGTCGGGACTTCGGAGTGCAACCAGACACAGGTGCTTCTGATGGACGCAAGGGCAGTTCTGAGAAAGTGGGCTGTGTGGGGGTCAGGGAGGCAGAAGTGTGTCCTTGGGAAGTAGAAGAGGTTCCCTCTGCCAAGAAAGCAGAGATCTGCCCTTGGGAAGCAAGTCCAGGAACGGTGGGGGAGGGGGCACTGGACCAGGGGCAGGATGGAGAGTCACAGGAGGCTGGAGGGGCTGAAGGACACTTTTTAGAAGCAGCGGAGGCAGTCTACCCCTCAGAAGGCACAGCAACAGCAGGGCTATTCCCGGAGGCAGACACCACGGACACAGACCACCCCAAGGTCAGCCCCCATGGAGCAAGCAGCCCAGGGCAGAGGCTAGCAGAATTATGTCAATGGGAAGTGACAGACCCAGAAGGAAATAAAATCAAGGGCACCATGGCAGACATTTGTCCATGGGAGGAAAGCAGACCCCCATCTGATGAATCAGGCCCCCTGGCTTTACCAACAACCCAGACCGATGTCCCTGCTGCCCCTGAGAAATCACTCTGCCTCTCAGTACACAGACCTTTGGAGACCTTTCTTCCAGAGAGCAAGAGCGTCCACCCAGAAGTGAGCAAGCCACCCAGTGCTCTCCCTCTGGAAGGTGTCAGAGAACATGGGCCTTTGGGACTTGAGCCTGGAGCCAAGTCAGACCCAGAGCCAAGTCTCGAAGAAGCGGAAGCTCCGAAGTCTCTCTCCTTGATTGAAGACCAAGGGCAAATGACTTCTGAGGTTCAAGATGGAGAACTCAGCCCTCCACCTGCTTACCCTTGGGACTGTGAATGAGCACCGAAGTGAGGTCAGAGCTCCTTCAGGACACTTCCCACGGTCCAGTTCCCAAGGAGCTGCCTCAAAGACACTTGGCTACTTCCTCTCCCCAAGAGGCCAGCTGGCAATTCATTCAAAAGGAACTGTACAAGAAGGGTGCAGCGTGGCCCCCAAGGGATATCCGGTCCTCTCCACTTCTCTTTCTGCTTGAGGAAACAAGCCGGACCCTTCCCGTCTAAAGAATTCTACTATTTGTCCAGCGTACCTGACACCAGTCATTCAAATCTGAACTCTCACTTAAACGGAGTTTACCCAAGGCAGCAAAGACCCAGACCACACGAGGCAGTGGCAGTCGGGAACTGTGGGCGGGAGAAAGTTATCGAGCCATGTGATTTAGGATGACAGACAGGGCTACAATGTGGCTCAGTGGTTAAGCACATGCCCTGCTCTTGCATGGGACCGAGGTTTTGCTCTCAACACCCATGTCAAGTGGCTTATAACCACCTGTAACTCCAGCTCTGGGGAATCCTCCAATTTCTTCTGGTCTCTGAGGCCATTCATGTGCACATACCCCCACACAGACAGACAGACAGATAGACAGACACACACACACACAATTAAAATTAATATTTAAAAGATGAAAGATGTCAGAGGAAAAGGAAGACAAAATATGTGCCCCCCCCCAAAAATCTCACAGACCTAGACCTTCTTCTCATCCCATTCCCCGACACATGGTCCCAGGCTGGTCTAGAACTCTGTATGTATGAGGCTGACTTTACTCTTCTCATCCTCCTGCATCACACTACTGAGTTCCAGGGTTACGGGGTGCACCACCATGCCCAGTGTATTCAGTGGTGGCCAATGCATGCTAGGCAAGCTCTCTGTCACCTGAACTATAACCCCAGCCCTGCCTTTGTCTTTCTGTGGGTATGTGTGGTGCTGGAGACTGAACCCCGATCCTCAGGAATCAGCAAGTCACATCCCCAACTCAAGGGCCTTGTTTTTTGATTTGAACCTCCAATTTCTACTTGATTATTTCCCATTTGTGCCCTGACTGATGGCTGAAGTGGTAACAATTAGACGCTCTGACATCTATGTCACAGCTGGTGTCCACAGTGACAACACAGGACAAGGGAAAACACTTCTCAGGGTCCTCCCCACACTGTACAAAGTGTTCTCCCTTCCAGATGTGCTCAGTAAGCCATCTTCCCATTTTCCTGGCCAAGCTCTCGCCATCACCACAGCTCACCTCCCTGCCTCCTCTTCCTGATGTTTCTGTAGTCAGCAAAAGGACCCCTCCTTAGTAAATGCAGCCAAGGGGAGATCTCTGGTTCTCAGGCAAGAACCACTCTGACTCATTTGCACCCCTTCCCAGAGGAGCCTGGGGAAGAAAAGAGGTCCTGTTCACAGTCAGAATCCCAGCTGCTACCTTCAGAAAGAGTAGCACTTCTGGCCAAGTGAGAAGCCCAAGGGCTGGGCAAGGCACCACGTCAACACAAAGCCTCTTAGCAGCTCACTGTCCACTTGGCTCTCCTGTCAACGATCCTTCAGCCTACCTTGCTTGAGCAGCAGCGTGAGATGACAGAGGGTTGCTGTTATATGAGCTCACCAAAGGGAGACTAGGAAGGAGAAAAATGGCTTGGGAGAGCAAGAAGGGCTGCAGACAGGCGGCCTATTGTAGCCGAGCGGCTACATTCATGACAACAGCAGGTCCCACCCCCTGACGGTACCGTACAGAGGTGGAAAACCCCGGATGAGACCAAATGCCCAGTGAGCAAACCGGGAGTCTGTATGCAAATGCCTCACAGAAAAGAACAGCTGAGTACTCCATTTCCAAAAGGGAACAGATTAACAGTCACCCACTCTCCTGTGGGGGCCAGCTGCCCTCATTCCCACACAGAGCTCTCCTACCTACCCAGTTCTCCTACACTGGGTTTCTACAGCAGTGTGTTGTTCTGGGCTGTGGCTACTTAACCCCACAACTTCTGAGCTCAGGTAGACTTCACTAACTGTGCACCCCAGAGCAATCCCACTGGGTCTAGTCTAGGTGAAAATGCAAAATTATCTCCACATTCAGTGTTACAAATAGCCACCTGGGGAAATAATAAAGAATGCTTGTTCTCAGCTACTATACTTGGCTCCAGCTTATTTATAAAGGTGGATTTGTCAACAGAGGGACAGCAGTCAGATGCCTGCTCGTCTAGGGTAGCCACCCTATATCTGATAGGACATTGGGTGGTCTGGTTTATTCTCTGCCAGTGCCCAGAATCATAGCTAACAGATGCTCTCTGCCTGATTCTCCTAGCCAGCCCTGCACATCTGGGGCCATTTGCTCAGCTGGATTTGATCCCAGAGGAAATGAAAATTGCACTTATCCCCTGGCTTCCTGGGGAAGCTATTGCTTAGCTGCGATTTAGGATTATCTAGAGACCCTGAGTCAGATGCGTGGCGATGGGATCAAACAGTTGATCCGAACCACGGTTCTTCATAAATTCAAGAGAAATCAATGTAACATTTGCCTACTAAGTGCTTTTTTGTCTCTCTGCTTCTCTTCCCTGCTGGGATTATCTCCCTTCCTTCACACTCCCCAGCTAAGGATCTGGCTCAAAGCACTTCTTATTTTGCCTTAATCCCAGGGCTCAGGCAATAGGATGTATCCAACCCCCACTTGGGCAGTAATGCTGCAAACTGATGGACATTTCAAGCCCAGAGGGTTAAGACTAAACAGCATGAGCCTGGCCACTTTGGAACACCCCACCAGTGCTCTCTTCCCTAAGCATAGACATATCTCTGATTCCACAGTCCATGCTCACAAGCTGTTATAAAAACATGTCTCGCCGGGCAGTGGTGGCGCACGCCTTTGATCCCAGCACTCGAGAGGCAGAGGCAGGTGGATCTCTGTGAGTTCGAGGCCACCCTGGGCTACAGTGAGTTCTGGGACAGCCAGGCTACACAGAGAAATCCTGTCTTGAAAAAAAAATTTTTTTTAAACACCTGCTTCAGTAAGTGTATTCAAAAGACCTTTTAAAGTGGTATGCTGGGGGCTGGAGAGATGGCTCAGAGGTTAAGAGCACTGGCTGTTCTTCCAGAGGACCTGAGTTCAATTCCCAGCACCCACATGGTGGCTCACAACCATCTGTAATGAGATCTGATGCCCTCTTCTGGTCTGCAGACATACATGCAGGCATAATCTGTATACATAATGAATAAATAAATCTTTAAAAAAAAAATAAAAAATAAAGTGGTATGCTGGGCTGGAGAGATGTTCGGTATAGAGTACTTGTTGTTCTTGCAGAGGACTCAGATCCAGTGCTCAGCACCTACATGGTGGTTCACAACCATCCATAACTCTAGTTCCAGGGAATCCAACTCCCTCTCCTGACCTCCAGGGTACCAGGCAAACATGTAGTGCACAACATACATGCAGACAGGACACGCATACATGTAAAATTAAGTAACACCCTATTTTCTGTTGCTGTTCTTGAGACATGATCTCAGGTAGCCCAGGCTAACTCTAAACTGTTATGTAGCCAAGGATGGCATTAAGCTACTGATCCTCCTCTTGCCTCCACTTGCCCAGGAATGGGATTCCAGGGATACCCTAGTTTATAAACACTGAGTATTCTAGTCTAGAACTCCTGAAGCTGCATCCCTCATAACTACACTGGTTTCCACTTCTGACATCACAGACTGCTCTATCCAGTTTGAACCAGGGAAAATGAACAGAACACAGTTTATTCAACACTTTGATAGTATTTTATTTCAAATGCTGATCTCTGCCCTATAATTAGACAAAGAATGCTGTCAGTCTGCTCCCACAGTTCCTCCTGTGAAAAGCCCAGTATCACGTTTGTTCTTGGACATGCTGCTTTCCTTTCACCTCAGAAGGTAAACATGACTTTAAAAAGAAGATGCTCCATGGCCAGGAATCCCAGCCACCTACCTGGGCCAGATATCAGCCACAACTGCAAGTGGGGAGGGGCTTCTGAAAAGGCCCAGGCAGGGCAGGAGAGGGCAAGGGAAGCCAATAGGGTATAGGTGATTTTGCAGCCCCATCATCCATTATCTCCCCCGCCCCCTCCCAAGACAGGGCTTCTCTGTGTAGCCCTGTGGCTGTCCGGGAACTCTGTAGACAGCCTGGACTCGAACTCACAGAGATCTGCCTGCCTTTGCCTCCTGAGTTTTGGGATTAAAGGTGTGCACCACCACCGCCTGGCTCCTCAGGCGTCACTTATGCCATTAGGCAAGCTGAGGCTTATGGGCCTCGCCTTGTGGCTCTTCGGACTCCTCCCATGGGTTCAGCTGAGGACCAGGAATCATCAGCGTCTGCAAAGAACAGGAGGCTGAAGTTACCTGCCAATCAAGCCTGTTGTTTACCCACAATGGCTTCACTCCCTCACGAAGCAACCAGAAACAGTTCCCCTTCCCTAGGTTGGTGCATCTTTCCTTTTGTCCACTAGGTGGAGCCCAAGAGGAGAGTTTTAGGATGTCAAGACTACAAACAGCCTCACGCAAGCTTCCTACCTTGAGGATGGGCTGCTTAGGGGGTGCCCATGTGGGCACAATCTTGGCATGCATTCTCCAGCTTCCATATGGGTTCACCAAGTGTTTTTCAAACACCACATACTCCAGGACATCCTTGGGGACATCTTCTTGTCCATGCATCAGCCGGCCAAACCGATCATAGATGGCCAGAGTCTGGAATGATGAAATACAATCTGGCCTGTCAGAGGACTTTGTTCTATGTTTGTTACACAGTCATTTTTGGAAAAATCTTAACAAAAAATTTAAATTAATGAAAATTAACATTATTTCAGAATTCTGAACTTAGAACTAATCATTGCTAACACATTACTCTTCATGGTTCTTTGATGGGTGGGGAAGGTGGGAGACCAGCAGAGGAGAAGTAACACCCTCACAGCACATCTGAGTGGAGATAACACTTCGCAGTGGCGGGGACCAGCAAGCCTCTCCTGAGAACTCACAGTCCTGGGCCACGGGATGGAGCACAGTGGTGTGAGCACTTCCCTGGCATGCATGAGGCTCTGCCTTCATCCCCCAGAACCACAGAATCCAAACAGCCCTGAACTCAACAGTCCAGAGACAGACGCCCGACACGAGAGCTGTCGGGACGAAAGTTAATGAAAAGGTCTCTGGCACTCAGAGACTAAATGTTTTTCCTGGACCCCTGGCCCAGTTCAAACCTTTGAGATCACTTAAGACTTGGCCTGCTGTCCCACTGCATCCTCAGCCAGTCTGAGCTTAACTAGCTGTTAAGACAACAATGTAATAATGTCTTGAATTTCCCATGTAATCTGCTTTTACAACCTAGCCTAAGACACAGTTTTATACTCCTCCATGCCTCTGGTCCAGAGCAGTGTGTATGTGTATGGTGTGGTAAGGATTTGCTCTAACAGCCAACAAATTGAAAGCAACCTTACACAACAAATACCCACCAAGTGCTGGGCAGACTGGAGATGTCACTTGACAACATTTCTGCAGGACTGTTTACTTTTCTGAGTGCTTTAGGGTCAGTTGGGGTCAGCAAAGTTTGTTCCCTTATAAAACTGTTAAAGATTTCTGTCCAGACTCCATCATCCCTTTTCCATACTCTGTTTTCTGCACGACTCAATAACTACAGAGGGAAGCCCGTTGTTAGGGACAGACACAGTGGCAGTTAGATATCAGATGGCATCCAGGCAGGCACAGACACATACAAGGGATAGACTACGGATAGGCCAGGACCCACAGAACTCACACAGGCGGAAGAGGAGAGGAGAATTCAAACTTGGGCTCACTCCTGGCTAAACTACTCCAAGAGGAAGTCTGAGATTTCATTCCTTAAAGTAACACTGATGCATTCTGGTGTCTCTGAGGTGGTTATTTTTAATGTACGTAACACGTAGTGAAGAAAACAGTGACTCTACCTGCCGAGTGTGCAGGCGGACAGTGACCTGGCCATACATGTCGCTCTGCTTCATCAGGCCTGCAGAGCGAACATGAACCACTTGGGCTGGCTCTAAAGATTCCACGAAGCTCCAGCGGACGGTCTTGTACCTGAGGTCCCAGACCATGTCCTGTGGGCAGAAGAGAAGAGTTCACTGGGATGTCCCTTCTGTAAGGTGTGCCAAGACCACAACTGCAACACTGTAATCAACAGGCAGTGCGTCCCTACTTCCTCCCCATGTTAGGTGGGAATGGGGGTTGAGACAGGGACTCACTAACCCAGGCCGGAATGCTGATTCACGCTTTCAAGTGCTAGAATTACATATGGAAGCCACAAAGTCCCCCTCTCTTCCCAAGTTTTTATGTATTTATGTATGTTTTTTTTTGTTTTTGTTTTTGCAAGAGTTTCTCTGTGTAGCTCTGGCTGTCCTGAAACTCACTCTATAGACCAGGCTGGCCTCGAACTCACAGAGATCCATCTGTCTCTGCCTCCGAGTGCTGGGATTTAAAGGTGTGCCTCACCACTGCCTGGCTATCTTAACTTTTATTTTATTATTTTATGTGTATAGGTGTTTTGCTTGCATATATATGTCTGTGTATCATGTGCATGCCTGGTGCCCATGAAGTCAGAAGAGGGTGTTGGAGGCCCTGGAACTGGAGTTACAGGCAGCTGTGAACTGCCAAGTGGGTGCTGAGAACTGAATCTTGGTCCTCTGGAAGAGCAGCCAGTGCTCCCAACCACTGAGATGTCTCTCAAACCTCAATTCCTCATGCTTTCAACTGTTCTAATTGTTTTATTTATGAGTATGTGTGCGTATATTGTGTCCCCAGAAAGAATGTGGTGTGGAATCCCCTGGAGCTGGACTCACAGGGACCTATGAACCACCTGACATAGGTGCTGGGATCTGAACTCCATTCTTCTGGAAAAGCAGCAAGTCCTTAGCCTCTCATCCAACTCTAGGCCCTCTTTCTCACAGTTTTTTGTTGTTTTTTTTTTTTTTTTGGAGACAGGGTGTCTCTCTGTGTAACAACTCTGGCTGTCCTGGAACTCACTCTGTAGACCAGGCTGACCAACTCTCATAGATCAGCCTGCCTTTGCCTCTCAAAAGCTGGGATTTAAAGTTGTACACCACCACCTAGCACTTCCCAAATTTTGATCAAGCTACGCGTCATGCTTACCTTGAAACTACATTTTTATTAAACTACCCCCCAAGACCCACACACCAGGTTAAGAGCACTGACTACTTTTCCATAGGACGTGGGTTCAATTCCCACCACCCACATGGCAGCTCATGACGGTCTGTAACTCTGGTTCCAGGGGACCTAACATCCATGGCAAAATATCAATACACATTAAAAAAAAAAGACCAGCCGGGCGGTGGTGGTGCACGCCTTTAATCCCTGTCTCGAAAAACCAAAAAAAAAAAAAAAAACCAAAAAAAAAAAAAAAAAGACGTATCCACCTCCAAGAGGCTCTTCTCCAAATCACTGAAAACCCACTCCACACACTATCACTGCACACACCATCCCTCCACACACCATCCCTCCACACACCATCCCTGCACACACCATCCCTGCACACACCATCCCTGCACACACCATCCCTGCACACACCATCCCTCCACACACCATCCCTGCACACACCATCCCTCCACACACCATCCCTGCACACACCATCCCTGCACACACCATCCCTGCACACACCATCCCTCCACACACCATCCCTGCACACACCATCCCTGCACACACCATCCCTCCACACACCATCCCTCCACACACCATCCCTGCACACACCATCCCTGCACACACCATCCCTGCACACACCATCCCTGAACACACCATCCCTGCACACACCATCCCTGCACACACCATCCCTGCACACACCATCCCTGCACACACCATCCCTGCACACACCATCCCTGCACACACCATCCCTGCACACACCATCCCTGCACACACCATCCCTGCACACACCATCCCTGCACACACCATCCCTGCACACACCATCCCTGCACACACCATCCCTGCACACACCATCCCTGCACACACCATCCCTGCACACACCATCCCTGCACACACCATCCCTCCACACACCATCCCTGCACACACCATCCCTGCACACACCATCCCTGCACACACCATCCCTGCACACACCATCCCTGCACACACCATCACTGCACACACCATCACTGCACACACCATCACTGCACACACCATCACTGCACACACCATCCCTGCACACACCATCACTGCACACACCATCCCTGCACACACCATTACCACTTTCTCCCATACACATTCTTCTAATTACTGCATGTACTTCTATTGATAGGACACTTTTTTTCCCCTTTTATTTTCATTTTATCCCCTCACATTTCAGCAATGAAAGGGAGTGTTTTCCAGAGCTCTCAGGGCTACAACAGAACAACAGATGAGGCACACTTGCCCCGAGGAGGCTGACAGAAACATAAACTGAATTTCTAGAAACTGGAGTTCTTATTCTGGAACCTCCAGCTGAACTACAAAGCCTCCACCCTTGGGGGTTCCTCAAAGTAGCAGGAATCCAGCCACTATGTAATTGAAGCTTGTGAATTCCGGTTAAAACCTTTACCAGAGGGTAGACATGTGAAGTGAGGCCTCAGAGTTATCTACACACTGGACTGAAAGCCTTTCTCTTTCCTCATCTGCCACAGCCCTCATCAGAGTCTGTGATAAGTCATTATCATTCAGCTGGAAATAAAGGACTTGGGCTGGAGAGATGGCTTGGCAGTCTAAAGCATTGGCTGCTCTTTCAGGGGATGAGAGTTCAAACTGGGCGGTGGTGGCGCACACCTGTAATCCCAGCACTCGGGAGGCAGAGGCAGGTAGATCTCTGTGAGTTCGAGGCCAGCCTGGTCTACAGAGCTAGTCCAGGACAGGTTCCAAAGCTATAGAGAAACCCTGTCTCAAAAAAAAAAAAACAAAAACAAAAAGAGAATTCAATTCCCAGCACCCACATGGCAGCTCACAAGTGTCTGTAACTTCAATTCTAGGGAATCCGACACCTTCACACAGGTATAAACATAGGCAAAACACCAATGCAAGGCCAGGCGGTGGTAGCGCACGCCTTAATCCCAGCACTCAGGAGGCAGAGCCAGGCAAATCTCTGTGAGGTCGAGGCTAGCCTGGGCTGCAGCATGAGTTCCAGGACAGGCACCAAAACTATAGAGAAACCCTGTCTCGAAAAACCACAAAACTATAACAACAAACACACCAATGCACATAAAAGTAAATTAAGAAGAAAAATACATTAGAAGAAAAAGAACAGACATAACTTCCAAAGCCAGAGTAATGGCATATATACATAATGTGAGCATCAGGGAAGTTGAGGCACGAAGACTGTGAATTGGTAACCCGAGCTACATAGTATGACCCTGTTCCCCACCCCACCCCCCAAAAAAAGGAAGAAAAAGAAAGAGACAGAAAGAAAGAAAACAACAACAATAACAAAAACAGAGTAACGTCTAGAATTTGTCTGCTCAGGCATGCCACCACTCTAAGGGTGAGAACCTACCGGAAAACAGTGTTCAGTTACCAAGGCATGAAGCCGCTCATGGTCTGAGCTAGAAAAGAAACAGAGAGATATTTATTATTGATTGATTGCCACTTTTATGGTACCCTCTATGGAATCTGAAATGGGCTGGTAAGATGGCTCAGTGGGTGAGGGCTTGCCCCAAAGCCTGACAAGCTGAGCTCGATGCCCAGAATTCACACGAAAAGAACTGACTCCACACGAGTCATGGTGTGTGTGGTATGTGTGTTCCCATTTATATATATACAAAACAAACAGAATATAATAAAAGAAAAAGAGTTTCGTTTTTGTTTTTTGCCCCTCCCCTCCCCAAGACAGGGTTTCTGGCTGTCCTGGAACTTACTTTGTAGACCAGGCTGTCCTAGAGCTCAGAGATCTGCCTACCTCTGCCTCCTGAGTGCTGGGATTAAAGGCATACTACCACCATTCAGCAAAAAAGTTTTGTTTTGTTTTGTTTCTTGTTAAGTTGAAAATGGGGGGCTGGAGAGATGGCTCAGTGGTTAAGAGCACTGGCTGTTCTTCCAGAGGTCCTGAGTTCAATTCCCAGCAGCCACATGGTGGCTCACAACCACCTGTAATGAGATCTGGAGCCATCTTCTGGCCTGCAGGGACACATGCAGGCAGAACACTGTATGTGAAAGAAAGGAAGGAAGGAAGGAAGGAAGGAAGGAAGGAAGGAAGGAAGGAAAGAAATTATTTTTTAAAAAAAGGTTGAATTACAGGCATGCATCACCACGCCCGGTTTATGCTGGAGATCAAACCCAGGGCTTCATGCATGCTAAGCAAGCCTTTTATCAACTGAGCACAAACCAACCACTGCATTTTAATGTTTTATGAAACATTTAGTAGACTCCAAAATACCATTTTTTTTTTTTTTTTTTTTTTTTTTGGTTTTTCGAGACAGGGTTTCTCTGTGTAGCTTTGCGCCTTTCCTGGAACTCGCTTTGGAGACCAGGCTGGCCTCGAACTCACAGAGATCCGCCTGGCTCTGCCTCCCGAGTGCTGGGATTAAAGGCGTGCGCCACCACCGCCCGGCTCCAAAATACCATTTTAATAGGTTTTAAAATTTTATTTATTAGCCGGGCGGTGGTGGCGCACGCCTTTAATCCCAGCACTCGGGAGGCAGAGCCAGGCGGATCTCTGTGAGTTTGAGGCCAGCCTGGACTACCAAGTGAGTTCCAGGAAAGGCGCAAAGCTACACAGAGAAACCCTGTCTCGAAAAACCAAAAAAAAAAAAAGAATGAATGAAAATGGTCCTGAAGATGGAAAACAGTTCATTTATACAAATGTTTTCTACAGCCAGTCGGTGGTGGCGCACACCTTTGATCTGGGAGGCAGAGCCAGGCAGATCTCTGTGAGTTCAAGGCCAGCCTGGGCTACCAAGTGAGTTCCAGGAAAGGCGCAAAGCTACACAGAGAAACCCTGTCTCAAAAAAAACAAAAAAACAAACAAACAAAAAAACCAAATCTTTTCTACATATGCACTGGAAGGTACATGATATACTAATTTAATAGTTTGTGTTTCTGGAGCAGAAAGAAATTCCTCTGAAATCACATCTAGTTGGGCAAGGATATTCACTAAGACGTGCAGCTGACTCTTGTTCTATGCTGGTATAGCTGGTATAGGGAACAAAGTCCAATGCCATGCAAGAATAAAAAGTCCCTTATCTTCTCTGATGGAGCATGAGTCACTCATCAGTGCCAACGGCCGGCCTCTATGTGCACTCTCATCTCTGAATCAGTAAAAGATGGCCATGTGTCTTTTCTGTCCCCGAAACCCTTGGACTCTGGAAGTGCAGGAAGTTGGACTTAGATATTATGTCTCTCCAAATAGTCCTGCTCTACAAGGAGGGACTAGAAAACTAGCCCACCAGGGCACACATAAAGTGTTTCTTCTGGCTCAGATCTTAGTGTGAAGTAGAAATGAAAACTGGAAACAGTAAGGAAGGGAAACACCTTCCTCCCCTAGGCTCAGGGACTATCACAGATGAGAAGGCAGAAAGACTGTAAGAGCCGGAGGTTGGGGAGGGTCATGACATTCATGGCTGCCTGCATAAAATCAAGCCAGTCAGCATTCTAACATGGAGTGGGGAGGGGCTCAGAAGCTGCAGCCCTAACTGAGGAGCTACTGATAGTTAGTAGATTTTGGGGGAGAGAGAGAGTTTTAAGGATAGGTCAACTACACTGCAGTGGATGGCCTAATACTCAGGCATATGTATGAGTAGCACAAACTGAATTTGGGGTATCAAAAAAGGGGGAGTGGGCAGGGGGATAGGAGGTGGATCTGGAAGGAATTAGGAGGACCAGTGGGGGCGTTGAATATGACCACAATACATGGTGTGAAATCCTCAAAGCATTAATAAAAACTTTTTTAAAAAATGGCTCTGGGGCTGGAGAGATGGCTCAGAGGTTAAGAGCACTGACTGCTCTTCCAGAGGTCCTGAGTTCAATTCCAGCAACTACTTGGTGGTTCACAACCATCTGTAATGAGATCTGGCGCCCTCTTCTGGCCTGCAGTCATACATGCTGTATACATAATAAATAAATAAATCTTAAAAAAAAAAAAAAAAAAGGCTCTGAAGGAGCCGGGCGGTGGTGGCGCATGCCTTTAATCCCAGCACTGGGGAGGCAGAGCCAGGCGGATCTCTGTGAGTTCGAGGCCAGCCTAGTCTACAGAGCAAGATCCAGGACAGGTACCAAAACTACACAGAGAAACCCTGTCTCGAAAAACAAACAAACAAACAAACAATGGTTCTGAAGGTAAAGTGCTTGTCGTCAAGACTGAGGGCCACATATTAGGAGAGAGAGCTCACCTCCACAAGCTGTTCTCTAGGTTCAACACACACGCCATATGCAAACACACTCACATACATCCTTGTGTGCACGCACGCGCACACACGCACACACACTAAATAAAAAGAGAAAGAGCATGCACAATGCATGGTAGAAAAAACTGGGAAAAAAGCAAACAACAGCCGGGCGGTGGTGGCGCACGCCTTTAATCCCAGCACTCGGGAGGCAGAGCCAGGCGGATCTCTGTGAGTTCGAGGCCAGCCTGGGCTACAGAGCGAGATCCAGGAAAGGCGCAAAGCTACACGGAGAAACCCTGTCTCGAAAAACCAAAAAAAAAAAAAAAAAAAAAAAAGCAAACAATAAGAGCACAGGTTCCCAGGAGTGATGGCACAGGACTTTAGTCCTAGAGCTTGGGATATAAAGGCAGGTAGATCTCCATGAGTTCCAGGCCATCCTGGTCTACATAGGGAGTTCTGTATCAGCCAGAGCTACACAGTGAGATCCTGTCTCAAAAGAAAAAAAAAAAAAGAAAGAAAGATAGAAACAAAAAAGGAAGAAAGAAAACACCAAGGTTGAAAGATAAAAAATGAAGAGGCTTGGAAACAGACACGTACAGGTGTAGGGACACAGCACCCATCTTGTATGCACAAAGCTCGGGGGTTTAAGCTCCAAAGGCACCAAACAGTCCCGCTGAACAATAGACCTCTCTCTTTCTCTCCTTCCTTCCCTCTTCCTTTCTTTCTCTCACATAAATGTCCCTCCCCCCTAAAAAAAAAAAAAAAAAAAAAAAGAAAAAAAGAAAAAAAAATTAACAAGAATCCAAGGATTAGTCCTTAGGACTGTTCCAGCCCTGCTGGCAGAGTAGAGCTCAAGAGACATCTGCTTAATTCACATTAGGGCCTTGGTTCAACCCACAATAAGACAAAGGACAGGAACAAAGAAAAAAATTACAAAGAATAAAAATTTCAGGGCGCTGGAGAGATGGCTCAGAGGTTAGGAGCACTGGCTGCTCTTCCAGAGGTCCTGAGTTCAATTCCCAGCAACCACATGGTGGCTCACAACCATCTATAATGAGATCTGGTACCCTCTTCTGGCCTGCAGGCATAAGGCAGACAGAACACTGTATACATAATAAGTAGATTAAAAAAAAAAAATTCAAAAATGTATCCCAGGCTCCTGACATTGAATTTCCATGTCCCTAGCAACTTGACTTGGGTGAATTAAGAAAAAGTTGCAAGTATCAAGAGAAACTTACTCAAAGTCACCAAGGAAAGAGAAATGTTCATGATAAAATAAATGCTCAGGCAGGATCAGATAGGGAAAACCAGAAGCCATTCCAGGATAGCACTAACAATTACAGCTAGAAATGAGAGAGATCAAATCATTAAAAAATCATTTTTTGCCGGGCGGTGGTGGCACATGCCTTTAATCCCAGCACTCGGGAGGCAGAGCCAGGCGGATCTCTGTGAGTTGGAGGCCAGCCTGAGCTACCAAGTGAGTTCCAGGAAAGGCGCAAAGCTACAGAGAAACCCTATCTCGAGAAACCAAAAAAAAAAAAAAAAATCATTTTTTAAAAAGCCCACTCAAAGCCGGGCGGTGGTGGTGCGCGCCTTTAATCCCAGCACTCGGGAGGCAGAGGCAGGCGGATCTCTGTGAGTTCGAGGCCAGCCTGGGCTACCAAGTGAGTTCGAGGAAAGGTGCAAAGCTACACAGAGAAACCCTGTCTTGAAAAACCAAAAAAAAAAAAAAAAAAAAAAGCCCACTCAAGGGCTGGAGAGATGGCTCAGAGAGGTTAAGAGTACCGACTGCTCTTCCAGAGGTCCTGAGTTCAATTCCCAGCACCCACATGGTGGCTCACAACCATTTGTAATGAGATCTGGTGACCTCTTCTGTATACATAATAAATAAATAAATCTTAAAAAAAAAAAAAAAAGCCCACTCAAACCAGGTGTGGTGATATATGCTCATTATTCCACTACTCAGAGCGTTAGGCAAGAGGGTCAGAAGTTTGAGGCCTGGAACTGGAGAAACGGCTCAGCAGTTAAGAACACTTCATGCTCTTGCAGAGAACCCAGGTTTGATTCCCTGTACTCACACAGCTGCTAGAAACGGTCTGTAACTCATATACACAGAATAAAAATAACAAATAAGCTGGGCAGTGGTGCACAGACATGCATATAGGCAAAGCACTCACATACGCAGAATAAAGATAAATAAACTGGGTGGTGGTAGCAGACACCTTTAATCCCAGCACTTGAGAGGCCGATGCAGGTGGATCTCTGTGAGCTCCAGGCCAGCCAGGGCTACACAGAGAAACCCTGTCTCATAAAAAAAAAAGAAAAGAAAAGAAAAAAGAGAAAAAAGTTCAAACCAATCTGGACTATATAATGAGTTCAAGGACAGGTTGGAATGCATGAGAATCTCCTAAAGATACAGACAAGCCCCTTGTGGAGGCACACACCTTTAGTCCCAGCACTTGGAAGGCAGAGGCAGGCGGATCTCTGTGAGTTGGAGGCCAGCCTGGTCTACAGAGTGAGTTCCAGGGCAGCCAGGGCCACACAGAGAGACCCCGTCTCCAACAATGACAACAAACTACTGGAAAGGCAGGGAGAAGAGAAGCCCAGCTTCGGTTACTACGTGATAACAGCTGTGGAGACTGAACATGTACACGAGATGGGGAGTCCACTTACTTGTTCAGACAAAGGTGAGCTTCAATGAAAATATCCTTAGCTTTCTCAGGGAAGTCTTTGATTTTAAAATTAGCATCAAATCCTCTTATCCTTCGAACTCTGTAAATTAAGATGATAACCATCATAAAGGTGACGTCACAGCAGATAAAGGGTCTTAGCACCAATTCGAACAACCTGCGTTCACTCTCAAGGACTCACATGGTAGAAGGAGAGGACGGACTGACTCCCACAAGCTGCCCTGACCTCCATACTTGTGCTGTGGATGAGCCAGCAAGTGCATATACAGAAACAAACAAAAAACTGTAATAAACTATGAATTCTTTATATAATTCCAGAACTCATAGTTCACATTAATCTTCATGCCCATCTACCCAGTTAATAACGTTTTGACTGTCAAGACTGTAAATTCAACTCTCTCTCAAATCAACCATTGTAAAGAAAGAACAAGCAGGTCAGCAGGTCAGGAAGCAGAGGCAGGAGGATCTCAGTGAGTATGAGGTCAGCCTGGTCTACATAGGAGTTCCAGGACAGCCAGAACTATACAGTAAAATACTGTTTCAAAACAAACAAACAAAAAATATCAAGTTTTCTTTGGTCTGGAGAAGTAGTTCAGAGGTCAAGGGAGCATAGTGATTTGCAGAAGAACTAGGTTCCCAGACACACATCATGCAGCTCACAACTGTCTCTAATTCCATCTCCAGGGGGACCCAACACTGTATCAGCACTCAATTGCACATACCCACCTACAAACACATATACACAATTTACAGTAAACCTTAAAGAAAAAAGAAAGCCGGAGGCAGAGCCAGGTGGATCTCTGTGAGTTGGAGGCCAGCCTGGTCTACAGAGGGAGATCCAGGCCAGGCACCAAAACTACACAGAGAAATCCTGTCTTGAAAAAAAAAAAAAAAAAAAAAAAAAAAGGACCAAAACCAGCAAGAATCTGAACAACAGAGAGTTTCTAAATAGCAACACTGAAAACTGAAGGACAAGCTAGTCCTGGTGGCGCATGCCTTTAATCTCAGCACTCAGGAGACAGAGCCAGCTGGATTTCTCCAGTTCCAGGCCAGCCTGATCTACAGAGTGAGTTCCAGGACAGCCAGGGGTACAAAGAGAAACCATGCCTCAAAAAACCAGAAACAAACAAACAAAAAATAGAGGTGGGCATTAGTAGGGTTTTTGGTTTGTTTATTTCTTTTTCAAGGCAGAGTCTTTCTGAGTAGCCCTGGCTGTCCTGGATCTTACCCTCAGGCTAGCCTCGAACTCACAGAGATCTACCTGCCTGTGCCTGCAGAATGCTGAGATTAAAGGGGTACACCACCCAGCTTGTCTGTTTTTTTTCAGGACAGGGTTTCTCTGGTATACTTACATGAAGGAAAAACACATAAAAAGAGAGAAGGAAATCAATGTAATATACCATACAACACAATAAGGATAAAATCGTATGTTCTTCTCAGCCTAGAATACTGAACCCTAGTTGTCTCTGATACCTACGCCAACAGTGACGTCGCACTCTTCCTTAACCGCTCTGTTCTCTGTGTCAGTCCTTCCTTTGAAAGGGAGGACACTCGACCATCACCTTCAGGTGGCACATAGGGATCAAATATACCAGCTGTAAGGAGAGAAGAAAATTAAAAAACTGTTGAAAGATTGAGAAAGGGGGGGCTGGAGAGATGGCTCAGAGGTTGAGAGCACTGGTTGTTCTTCCAGAGGTCCTGAGTTCAATTCCCAGCACCCACATGGTGGCTCACAACCATCTGAAATGAGATTTGGCGCCCTCTTCTGGCCTGCAAGCATGCATGTAGGCAGAACACTGTATACATAATAAATAAATAAATCTTTAAAAAAAAAAAAAAAAAAAAAGATTGAGAAAGGGGCCGGACGGTGGTGGTGCACATCTTTAATCCCAACACTCAAGAGGCAGAGGCCGTGGATCTCTGTGAGTTCGAGGCCAGCCTGGTCTACAGAGCAAGACCCAGTTACACAGAGAAACCCTGTCACAAACATGTGCGCTCCCCCCCCCCCAAAAAAAAAACAGAAAAGAAAGAATAATTTAACTCCTTCTAGAGTCTGTTTCTACTTCTACAAACCGGAGAACTTTCATTCTTTCTACAAGTTGTGTGAAAACAAGATCAAAAGACAACCCCGCCGGGCGGTGGTGGCACACGCCTTTAATCCCAGCACTTGGGAGGCAGAGCCAGGTGGATCTCTGTGAGTTCGAGGCCAGCCTGGGCTACCAAGTGAGTCCCAGGAAAGGCGCAAAGCTACACAGAGAAACCCTGTCTCGAAAAACCAAAAAAAAAAAAAAAGACAACCCCATGAACAGGACTAGTACTGCAGTTAAGTCTCAATTACTCCTCAGGCAGAAGGATCATAAATTCTAGTGACAAACTTAGAAAGATTCTGTCTCAAAGGCAAAAAGAAAGGGAAACTAGAGATACAACTCGGTGCTAGAGCGCTTGTTTAGCACGTATAGCGCCCTAAATTTCATACCAAGCACTGTAAAAACAAAATAAAACTGACTTTATGAATTATAGTATATATAAAGTTAATCGTTACTGAGGTTGAACTTAGTGGTTAATTTATGATGCTGTCAGTGGTGGTGTCTGAGTTTGAAGACAGCCTGGTCTACAGGCCTGGTCCAGGACAGCCAACGCTACAGAGAAACCCTGTCTTGAAAAAAAGGGGGAAATTTTTTAATGCTGTCAATCAGTCTAAGGCATTCCAAGCGCCAGTAGAGGATTGAGTCAGAAGCCCAGAATTACTGTTCCTCACCTGTACAGGCTAGATGTATAGGACGTTCCAACTTTTCTGGAGGAATAACCAATCCTGCTTTCCTGGCATGTTCCAAAAGCTCCTTCTCTGATTTGTACTTGGGTTTACGTGGAGTGGGTCGGAATCGGCTTTTGGTTTTTACTGGAACTAGAGCTGGGAACTGAGTCACCAGAATGGGCTGGGAGGTAAAGGAAAGGTTAGCATATAAGTAATTTGGAAAGAAAAACCTATCGAGCAAACTGTATGCAAAGTCTTACAGAAAGGATAGATCCAAAGAATGCTTTAGAAGAAGTTATGGAACAACTTCTATGGAGAAACTACATTACTATTTGAACGCCTAGAGAAGGCTCTTACCACAAAACAATTTTATTAACATCAGTCAACACTTACAAAAGCTTTCCTTTAATACATTCTGTAGTACTGCTGTACACGGAGATGATTAAAGCAAACATCCTACCATCAAAGACCTTTCAGCTTGACGGTGAACCTTAGAATCAACCCAATACTGAAAAGAGTGGAAGGTTATTATTAAAGCGTTAAGCAAAATCTCATGGGCATTTCCTCCACACTTTTCTCTTCTTTTTCTCCACACTTCTATTTTGCTTTTTTTTTCAAGATTTATTTTATGTACATGAATGTTCTATCTGCATGTAAGCCTCCACGTCAAAAGAGGGAATCGGATCCCACTATAAATGGCTATGAGCCACCATGTGGGTGCTGGGAATTGAACACAGGTCCTTTGAAAGAGCAACCATCTCTCCAGCCCCCTATTTTGTTTTTTTCACCCAAGCAGTGTCTCGCTGTCTTATTTCTGTCCTTCTAACTCCTAACTGCCCAAAAATCTTTTCAGAAGCCAGGTGACCTTCCCCCCATCCCCATCATGATTTTCGCTCCAGACTAAGACACAACCTACCTTGTACCCCTATCCTTGGCAGTTTTGTTTTGTTTTTTTTAAGAAAGTAAAAGAAGCGGGCCCACCTTCCAAGCCACTACTTCTTTCCTTTAAACAACTTCTCACCAAAGACTACCGCTAATGTGGAGACGCTTACAGCCAGTAAATTTAAATCGCCCTCAAGGCCCCGCGCAGGTTGTCTTCACTGAGCCACAAGAGAGACGTAGCGGGATTACATACACCTCGAATTCTTCCCCAGACTCGAATCGCCCAAGCTCATCAAAGACCACTGTACGATTATACCCGTCTACTCTGTCCTCCTCCTTCTGTCTCTAAAGTTCCATCCGCCCCGTCCCTACCCACCTGCCGAGACCACCATCCCACAGCCCTGGATAAGCAGGACAAGCCCCGAGGCATGGGGGCTGCCATTTTGTTCCCGCAAAGGCCGCCGGGATGCTGGCTGAGCCGCAGAGCACCGAGCTGGAGAGGAGGCGACTAGGGTGGAGCGAGCGCGGGAGTGGAAATTTCCAAGGACGCGCGCCCTCGGCCGAAAGGTGAGCCGCGCGCACGCGCACGTTCTCGTGTGGGGCGGGGCGGGGGGGGCGGGAGGCGGAGGGGCGGGGAGGGGCGGGCAATGCGGTTGCGCGTGCGCAGTGAGGTCACTTTGGAAGTAGGGTAAACCGCACGGTTGTCACGCGCCTGCCGGAGACCGGTGGAGAAGCAGCTGCGCCTGCGTGTGAGGCTGTCTGTGGGGCACCGGGTTGCTGCGTTCCTGGTTGCTTAGCACATTGTTACACCTTGTTTACATTCGGTTAAAAAATGAAAAACTGTTTCCCTCTGAAATCGGAGGACTTTGAGATTAGTGTTTTCTTTCATTACTTGGAATACACTAGTGGTATTTAGAGCGAAAATGATAGTTCTGGGTGTGTATCTGACTGCAAAATGCTGTATAACCTTAAAACCGTCTGGTTTTCTACGTGAAAATTCTTTCTTCCTGTTCCATTAAAGAAACTAACTACTGTGGTTACTGAAAAGCAAACGACACTTGGATTGAAAAGCTTTTTTTTTTTATTTCCAAAAATGTGGCATTTTACATATATCAACGTAATCCTCACTACAAAAAAAAAAAAAAAAAGAATATTCTGTTTCATACATATGGTTGGGCCAGAGATACTAAATATGTAATTTAAGTTTAGACAACTAATAATTGGCAGACTTGAAAGTCGGGTCCATGGAGTGTAAACAACTCCAAAACTGCTTCACATTCAATGGCTAAAGGAATCGTGATGGGAGTTCCGGTTCTCCTGAACATCCAGGACCATAAACACTTCTAAAGAGCAAATACTATCCATAATTTTGGTTTTCTGTTCTGTAGATTACTATTAATTGAGTTCAGGTTCTCCTAAACATCCAGGACCATAAATACTTCTGAAGAGCAAATACTATTCATAATTTTGGTTTTCATATTCTGTAGATTACTATTAATTGAGCACTCATCTACATTATTTTGCAATAGATTAGGAGTTATGGTCTGTGCATGTAAGAGTTTCCAATTTGAAGTAGACTTGCTGATAGCTTAAAGTGCTAAGAGCTGTTATCAGAGGGACTGAGAGATTCCATACGAGTTTGGAAATCTTACGTATTGTTTCAGATCTTAACTTCTAAGTCTATGGAATTGTCTTGAACTCATTCCGTAGCTGAGGATGGCTGTGAACCACACCTTGTCTTTCTGCTTCCACTTCGTGCCAAGGGCTGGGATTACAGGCATACCCTACCATGATCACCCTTTGAAACTTCTTTTTTCTTGTTGTTGGTTTTGTTTGCTTCTCTGTGGTACCCTGTTTGGAACTTGAAACTTCTTCAAGGGTAAGAATTTCCCCAAATTTCTAGCCTTAGCACTGAACCTATACCATGAGACACACTAATAGAGACATGAAACTAGGTACTATATGTATGTCAACTAAATAATATGTATATTAATAATCATTTAAACAACTGGTATCTATTATTTCATTATTTCTTTCACTTTTTTTTTTTTTTTTTTTGAGACAGGGTTTCTCTGTGTAGCCTTGACTGTCCTAGGACTCACTCTGTAGCCCAGGCTGGCCTCAAACCCAGAGATTCGTCTGTCTCTGCCTCCTGAGTGCTGGAATTAAAGGTGTGCGACACCACTGCCTGACTCTTTTACTTACTATTATTATTAGTGTTTTGTTTTGTTTTGAGACAAGGTCTCACTGTGTAGTTCTGGCTGGTCTGGAACTCTCTACACCTGGCTGACCTAAAACTCACAGAGATCCACCTGCTTCTGCCTCCTGAGTACTGAGATTAATGGTGTGCTCCATCGTGCCTGGCCATAGACCTTTACAGACTCCTGTTTACCTACTCTATTCATTATAAAATAAAACACAGCCGGGCGGTGGTGGCGCACGCCTTTAATCCCAGCACTCGGGAGGCAGAGGCAGGCGGATCTCTGTGAGTTCGAGGCCAGCCTGGGCTACAGAGTGAGTCCTAGGACAGTCAAGGCTACACAGAGAAACCCTGTCTCGAAAAACCAAAAAATAAATAAATAAATAAATAAATAAATAAATAAATAAATAAATAAATAAATAAATAAATAAAATAAAACACGATTATTTTTTTAATTTGTTGCTCCAGATGAAGTAAGAAAACCTATATGGATGAGTGGCTATTGATTACTCCAGAATATTGTGATAATCTTTCTCAGACTCCGCTCTTTGGTCACGTTTTATTTTGGCCACATGGAGTAGGTAACACATCCGAAGTCATTTCTGCCTGACCTCTGGTCAGTTTCTCAGATACTGCAAACTGATTACATATCAGCCTGGATGAATAAGAGTAGTCAATATGGTTTAGTTCATTAAAGGTGATCATGTAGCTTTTGATTAGCTGTTTTGGAAAATCTGTATTATCCTTCTTCCTCATTAAGTCCAAAGCTGATTGCCAGCTGTGAGCTGAGGAAGTTACACTAGAGGATGTTTCTTAATCCGCCAACACTATACTTTGCATTTCTCAGAATGCAAGATGAAAAGATTTTGCGTCATGTTCTCTTCAGCAGCACATACATTAAAATTGGAATGATATGGAGAAGACTAGCATGGTCCCTGCTCAGGATGACATGCAAATTTGTGAAGCATTCCATGTTTCTATGGCCAGGAGGAGCTTTCTACAGAAATATTTCTTTTTTTTTTTTTTTTTTTTTGGGTTTTCGAGACAGGGTTTCTCTGTAGTTTTGCGCCTTTCCTGGAACTCACTTTGTAGACCAGGCTGGCCTCGAACTCACAGAGATCCGCCTGCCTCTGCCTCCCGAGTGCTGGGATTAAAGGCGTGCGCCACCACCGCCCGGCTCAGAAATATTTCTTATATTTCTCTCTTTCTTCCTTTTTTTTTTTCTCCAGTTCTGTGCACAAATGCTGTCAACTTTACCAGTTCTATAATTGTTTAAATCTGTACTGTTGGGCTGGACAGCGGAGGCTCAAACCTTTAATCCCAGCACTGAGGAGGAGGCAAAGGCAAGTGGATCTCTGAGTTTGAGGCCAACCTGGTCTACAGAGCAAGTTCCAGGACAGCCAGGGATACACAGAGAAACCCTGTCTCACACCCTCCTCCCACAATAAATAAAACAACAAAATAAATAAATATGTACCAGCACGTTTTGGTTTTAAAAAGCTGGTAAACCAAGTCTTTATCATTTCCTTAAGAACAGAAAAAAGGAAATAGAGGCAGGAGAGATGGCTCAGGGGTTAAGAGCCCTGGCGGCTTTTCCAGAGGACCCAGGTTCAGTTCCCAGCACTCCTATGGTGACTCATAGGCCCCTGTAACTCCAATTCCAGGGGATCTGATGCCCTCTTCTGGCCTCTGATGGCACTACATGCATGTGGTGCATAGAGAAACATTCAGACAAGCACTCATCTACATAAAAATAAAATAAATCTCTTTAACAACAGAAAAAAGGAAATACTATGAGGCAGACATTTCTTCTCCATTTCTCTCAACACACAAGGTGTGACTGGAATCAATCCACTTTTGTCACAGTGAAACTTTCAAATGGGACCTTGTCTTAATTATTGCTGTGAAGAGACACCATGACCACAGCAACTTTTGTTGTTGTTGCTGTTTGTTTGTTTGTTTGTTTTTTCGAGACAGGGTTTCTCTGTGTAGTTTTGGTGCCTGTCCTGGATCTCGCACTGTAGACCAGGCTAGCCTCAAACTCACAAGAGATTCGCCTGGCTCTGCCTCTCAAGTGCTGGGATAAAGGCATGTGTCACCACCAACCGGTAACCATGGCAACTCTTATAAAGCAAAACATTTAATTGAGTGGCTTTTGGCTCAGAGGTTCAGTCCATTATCGTCACGGTGGGATATGACAGCATGTAGGCAGGCATGGTGCTGGAGAGGTAGCTGAGAGTTCTGCATCTTTTTGCAGGCAACAGGAAGAGGTCTGAGATACTAGGCATGTATGAAACCTCAAAACCCACTCCACAGTGACACACTTCCTCCAACAAGGCCATATGTACTCCAACAAAGCCACACCTCCTAATAATGCCACTCCCTATGAACTTATGGGGGCCAATTACATCACACTACCACAGGCCTAAAGAGAATAGGACTCCTTGTTAGCAGCGGGGCATATATATGTATTTTTTGCCCTCTCAGTGGCAGATAACATCAGGATTGAAACTTATCGGGCCTGAAGATAAGGCTCAGGGGTTAAGAGAATGTCCTGCTCTTGTGGAGGATCTGAATTTGATTCACAGAACCCACATCAGGAGGCTTGCAACTGCCTGTAAATCAAGGAGGACACAGCACCCCTGTTCTCTGCAGGAACCCACACACACATATGCATACCAGCACGCACGCACACACACACACACACACACACACACACACACACACACACACACAATTAAAAAGAATTTTTTTAAAAGGAACCTATGGGGGCTGGAGAGATGGCTCAGTGGTTAAGAGCACTGACTGCAGGGTTGGGGATTTAGCTCAGTGGTAGAGCACTTGCCTAGCAAGCACAAAGCTCTGGGTTCGATCCTCAGCTCAAAAAAAAAAAAGAGCACTGACTGCTCTTCCAGAGGACCTGGGTTCAGTTCCCAGCACCCACATGGTAGTATACAACTGTCTGTAACTCCAGTTCCAGAGCACTCGATACTCTCACACAGGCAAAACACCAATACACATAAAATAAAAATAAATAAAGTATTTTAAAAAAAAGAAGAAAGAATATGGGGGCTGGAGAGATGGCTCAGCAGTTAAGAGCACTGTCTGCTCTTCCAGAGGTCTTGAGTTCAATTTTCAACAATCACATCGTGAGTTGAATCTATAGTGAGATCTGATACCATCTTCTGGAATAAAGGTGTACATGCAGATAGACCACTCATATACATAAAAAAAATAAAAGAAACCTATGGGCTGGGGGTCTAGGCCAGATAGAAGAGTGCTAGTGGAGCGTGCAGTAAGCCTGGGGTCC